CAAGGACAGCAATGATCCAGTCATGGCTACAATACAGTAGTTGGGTAATTGTAGATGCACCATTACTGAACCCATACTGTTCAGGTGGTACAAGTTTGAATTTATCGAACCAGTTAAGGAGTTTGTCTCGTGATATTTTTTTAAAAACTTTGCATGAAATAGAGTTCGTGCTTATGGCTCTTAATTCGCTTACGAATGCGGATTGGTCGTCTTGAGAATGGGAGTAATCCCAATCCCTTCCTTCCAGATTTCTGGCACTTGTCTGCAGATGAGACAAATGTTAAAAATATGAGAAAGTGGGATTGAAAGTTTTGCGCTTTTTTTTGAAGAGAATCTGTGGAGTCCATCGAAAGGTTCGAATGTTGAGGCCTTCAATTTCTAAGGAAGAGTTCGACCGTGGAAGCCAATTGTAGGAGCAGTACATGTATAGCTTTGGAGCAGAACTATCAGTAGAAAACGGGTTCGCAGAAAATTTGGCCAAGGCTTCTGGTTTGTCTTGATTAATCAATTAATCCTTCTAGGTTCTCATATAGACACATTCTGTTCAAAATTCCCTAAACTACCTTCGAACCAACTAGCGCAAGTAAAGTGCGCATAACGCGTTGTGGTATGTGAGCGTCTTACGAGTAGCTTTGGGTATGTCCGGTAATAAAGCGATGAGCGTTTTCACGCAATGAACGGTTGCCCAGGCAGTCCATTCGCAGCGATCGAAAATTGTAACGACGGGATTGCTGGAAGTATGCCTTAGCCCTAAGGCCTCGGACAGAGTTAACGCGAGTTGATCGTCGCGATTTAATCGCCGCAATTTTCATTCATTTTCATTTTACATTCAAAAATTTCGAGCTGGAAAAGTATCACAACCGAAATGCAAGCTGATCGGCATGTGCAATGAACTCGTAACAGTTGTCTTGTAGCGATTGAATCGCGGCGATCAAAGCGCGTGAACTCTGTCAGAGGCCCAAGGCAAATCGCGCGCGATTTGTGCGGAACGACAACTCCTACACACTCATGCCCACCGTTGCAAGGGCGGCTGTGTTAGGCTGCGGGCATACTTCACGTAATTTCGATCGCCACCGATCTGAGAGTCTGCCAGATGTCCTAGATGCAACTTTTGAGGAATGCAAATTCACGGATGTATGACTTTCGCAGATTGAAAAGATACCCTATTTTCTGTACATTCAGCATGAGCTTATGATGATTTTTAAGTAGCTGGAGCATTGCCAAATCGCGTCGCGACTGAAATCGCATAAAGTATGCCCGAGGGGGCCTTAATGGGATGACGGATCGCTGATTGTTATTTGCTAAGGCAAACTTACTCAGCAATATTAATTTCGGCAAAACTTAGCGATACCGCATCTCTTGTGCTATGTGAAGGAGCGACATCCCCAAGATTGGAAGGCGTTCGTGAAAATTTTTGTATATACGCTATGTCTTGACCTGTTTCTTTTTAGAGTGGGCTAAATGTAAAACACAATTATTTCCAATCACTTTCTTTCAGATAATTTGTGGCGTGGAATAAATCTCTTGATTAAGCTTGAACATTTTGCAGATATTTTTGTGTTGTATTTTCTTGCGTGGTTTTGTTTGTAGGTTGCTTCTTACTAGATGGATGTGTTTTTCTATTTTACTGAGTTATCCCACCGTCACCACATTCTTAGAAGCTGGAAAATGTTTTGCAGTTTTTAGTTCATTATGATAAAGCCGATACACTTACGGATTTTGCTTTGCTATATACAACGCTACGATTGAATTTTTCCTCAAGGAAGTTAATCTCACAGTAAAAATGGGAACAAGTAACTTTGCCTGCACGGCGCTATTTGCTTTGCATGAGTCACATGTTGTCACTGGTATTATTGGAGCTGGATGCATATTCAAACGTAAGACAATCGAAATATTGCCTATAAAGCAAATTTACTCTAGGTGCAATATGTGTAAACACATGGAATCGCGCGTAATATCATGGTCAATACTTGCGATGTGCGGCCTCACCGTAATAAGTAACGAAATCCCGCGGTGAAATTGCGACGACGAAATTGCGTACACTATAGTGATTAGTAAGGTTATTTGAGATTTCTAGAATGAGCCAACGGGAATAGGGCTTTGTTCAAACGGGAACAGCTGCCTTACTTCACTTTTGAAACAAAATTTAACCAGCTAATGACCACCACTTGACTGATCCAAGTCTGAAATCTTAGTATTCGAGATGAAGCTTTTTGTCATGACCACGGCAATGATGATAAGCGACTAATCAGATGTGCTCAAATGGTTTCATGGAATTACCTCGCACGCTGCTCACGAATAATATGTTCAATTGTTGTGGAGTCCATTCAGTCGAACCCAGCATGCCTCACTGCCTTCCCGTCTAAAAAACCTTACTAACACGCCTCAGACCGGTGCTGCACATGGTGCAGCACGCGATTTTATTGGGCCTTGAATTTCACATTTTTTGGTGCTACGCTGCATCAATTCATTCAGGAGATACAGTCACAAATCAAACAATGATTTCAACATGGTGCGACAACGCGAACGACGCGTGCAACGTCGCTACTTCCATTTTCCAAAAGGAAAACAGTGCTTCTCAAACCGATGGGTACCGTATGCGACATAGGTGGATTTAGTTACCATTCGATACTGATGTTTCTATCTCCCAAGAAAACGAAGCAATCCTACTCAGGTGACGAAACTGAAAGACTTCACATTCAATCGGAATATTGGGTATAGAGCTTATTTGTTATGCTGATCAAAGATGTAGTGCTGATTTCACGAAAGGAGGGACCTTTGTAGACTACCGAGCAAAAGTGCATGCTTTTTCGACGCGCGCGAATTCGCGGTCCGAAACACGCTTTACCCTATCATCAAAGGCCTCCACCTCGGCTACAAACCCCGCCCCCCTCTGACCATTAATATGACCAGACCCCGCAGGTGACGCCTGCCATATCCCAAGCTTGACCCTGCTCTAATCACGTTCTGCAAAAACTTTTTAAGCATAGCCTTCCTGTTTTGTAGCTTTGAGACAGGGTCAAGCGTGTGATGCGACTGTCGCAACGGGGGGTCGTAAAGTGGCACTGAGGTGGGCAGGGGGGCCGTAAGAGGAAGTAGTTTGGCTAAAAACCGTAAGCTTATAAGGAAATTAAAAAGCAGAGAATTGGTACATGTTCTTTACAATGAATTTATAAAAAAGTAGAAATCAGAATAATAAAGTTAAAATCTTTTTGAAGATCCTCAAAAAACATTTCCAGAGCTCAAAACACTTTTGAAGGATGTACGATTTACTAAAAACTCTAAATGTACCGACTGGCCTAAGAATCTTGCTTTCGAAGCCTCCCTGATGTCTCACACTTGACACGACTAGCTTTACCGACGATGAACATCAATAATTTTTAAATCTTTTCGTAATGTTTTTCACGGGCCCATACAATTTATCTTACTTGATAAATGCTCTGCTACATTTCTGCAAAATCTAGTCTTATTTTGTAATCTGTGGGATTTTTCATAATTTTATGTATGGCGACAAAAACTGATGTATGAGATCGTATCTGGCTCGCATCTAAATTTCTCCGGAGCTGTTGAAGCTCGTTGGCTGCAAATGTGCTATAATACGAGGCCATCCTTCTACTTTCTATCGTAAAAATTTCAGGCTGTTTCATAACTTCTCCGGTGAGTTACAAAATTTCAAGCTTAAAAATCCCAGATTTGCTTTTTAGGATCGCATCTAAATTTGCGAGAGCTGCACCTAGCTTTTTCGAGCTTACTGCTCTTCAATGGCTGAAACTATTTCTATGGATAGTGTGGGCAGTACACTACATAGCCTGTTCATTGTAGCCCCTCAGTCTTTCCCTTAACTTAGTTACGAATTTTCAAAGTACCGTGCTCATGCACTTTTTTGACATCGTTCTGGATGGCGCCAAAACGGTTTTTTTTCGCAGGAAAGTTTGTGCGAAAGGTAGGAATCAAGCTTTTATCGAAAACACTTTTTACGTTTCAAAAGTGTCGTTTTTTCCCCTGCGAGAAAATGGTGCCTCTACGAGAGATAGAACACGAGACTGACATTATAGTCAAGAACGTTGTAATTTCCGGGACCGTAGTCGATATCGTTCGGTACCATTGAAAATGAATGGTCATGCCAAACATTCATAAATGATAGAAGAATTTATTACGTGTCACTGGAAAATGTGTTATTATTAATCAATCATAATGACTAAAGTGAACAGTTCCGTAATGCTGAATTTTTCTTGGTTGTTAGGTTATTTCATTTCTTAGCCTCTTAGTGGAGTAGAGCTTAAATATATCATTCAGATCAAAATTGATGTTCAGCATTGTCAGATGATGTTCATTCCATCCACATTTTCCCGAACCGAATAAGCACAGCTAAATCTTGAAATTTTACTACTTACCCAATCTCTTCGCAGAATTATTTGTGGTTTTTGAATGGTGAAGCATACTTGCATTATCCAATTCATAAGTAGTTAGTTTTTTCTAGACCTATAATTTTTATTGAGGTCGATTGGCAGGCATCTTTTGAGGTTGACATTCGTTTATGCAGGTTCAAATGCAGTCCAGTGGAAAGAGGGAGGGGGTGGGATAGGTGGAGGGGGGAGGGTCGTATGGATGGATTCCTTCAAGGGGGGGGGGTCGTAAATGAGGGTCCCAGATCGCATCAACACTCTTGACCCTGCCTCGAGATTCTCCAGCACAAAACTCTAAAAATTTTCCCTACAAAACTAGCAATCATGCTGAGAGAATGAGTTTTTGATACTAACAAGGGCAACAATTTGCAGCACAATATTTTATCAACATAGCTTGGCAACACACTCAAAAGTCATTCATTAGCTGGATCTACTGGTCCTAGCAGCATATTTGGACGCTCAAACTGCCCGTATCATACCCGCAACAGAATAAAAGTCGATTGTGACATGGAAATGATAGTGTCATGATGATTGATAATGATTACTTTCAAATACGTCTTCTTAGCTGTAGGAATCCACAAAAAAGTTGAATAACTAGTGAGTATAGTAGTAGTGAGGTAGCCGTCCAACCATGGCTTCATAGGGATTGCCCGAAAATGAAAATCGTTTGGCTGATGGCGAGAACGATTCCGGTAAATCAGGGATGTGTCGAGAAGTCAAGCGTAGAATTGCTGCGTTCTGAAAAAGTCATCATTCAAGGAAATTGTTGACTGTGTAGTGCCGATCAATAAGTTTGTTTTCTTTATTAGAGACAACTGAAATTACAGAAATTAATTGTAGCTATACGACTCTCCAAAGCAGGTACGCAAAATCTTTCAACTTGACACTCCTCTGTAAAACATTTATGATCTTCTGAATCATGGTTGTGATGTTTGCAATTTAAACGTATTTATAGGATTTGGGATTTGACAGGAGATCCCTATAAGCAATCATACAGTTTCATGGTCTGGTACCAATACTCACAAGTTACCAATAATCAAGTTATTGAATCAAAGTAGTGATGATCTCCATTCTTTTCAGCGGCTTTGCTATGACTTACCGAATTCATCATATTCAAAGGGCTGATTGAAGGATTATCGTGATAAGACGACGAGCCCGAGGATAGTTTCCGAAGTAGAAAAAATGACGACACTAAAACAGCTTTACTGATTTGGAAAGATTCCATTTTTACTAGTTGATTCTTACCTGCGGTTGGGAGCACAATTGACAATAAAAGCAGAGTTAATACCGTCCGTGTTAGCGTAACCATGTTTGAGTGGAAGGTTCTGTATTTCTATACTGAAACATGTATGTTTCGACTTAGCTAACCAAAACATTTGTGCAAAAAGCGATACGAAAAATGGGGAAGAAAACAATGAACAAAAATTAGGAAGGATTTGATTGTTGTAGCACACCTCTCCTCTCCCAAAAAAGAAACGACAAATCATGTCTCAAACAAAAAATCGAACCAAGTCTATTCGATGTCGGATGCAAGGATATCGCGTTGCTCATATATGGAATATTTAACATATCAGCACATTTTATTTCATTTTTTCATTTTCATTTCCATTAAATAGGCGCGAGACGTTCCAATAAAGAAAAGAAACAATCAATGAAGTTTGTTAGTTTCACACAGAACACGAATAGCAACAGAAACATCATATGCTTCAAGCCCGACTTCATTCGAATTAAAGAAATAACGACTTAGCTCGCAAGAAGACTGCTGGATATCACGAACTTTACTCCGGGATCTCTGGATGTGAGTGGATATGGTGAGCGTTTCTAGAAGTGTCTTTTCATGAGCTCAATCTAATGTAGAAGTTAGTGACGTTTATGACATTTTGCATGAGGTAATCTCCACTTCACGTTGATAGAAACTGCATCATTGAGAAATCTCTGCAAAGCTCAAAATCCATCTTCAGAACTCCGGCCTGTCGTTCAGGAACTCGTCTACTTGCGCGTATTTTCTAGCGATGTGGAAATGGGCGCTTAAAAACGCTCATTTTCACCATTTTCATGCGCTGCAAAGCCTAAATATGGGTTCAGCACGGAAGGTTTGAAAAGGTGAAAAACCGGAGAGCAAAAATTTGCTGGGATACTGTCGTCAAGGCAGGATATTTGCTTCCTCGCAAAACCTCAATGGAAAGCAGCAACTTGCAATAAATATCAGAAAAAGTGTGCTTCTCTTTCTGCTCAAAACTCACCTCAAAGCTTTCTTTGACGTAATATTTGAAATTATGGAAATGAAAAACAAACTACTATTGATAAAATAGCTGAGCCAGATGCGAGAAGACGATATTGGATCATTACAGCGCGACAATGACAGAAGTGAGTGATGTTATGATACTATCTAATTAGGAAATACTATGCGATCATCTTTCCTTCGCTCACTCAGTTGGAACATCACGTCATTAGCGTTGCAGATATTGTTACGTATTTTGAGAAGCGTAGGCGATGCGGAGGCGCTGAGTTGTAGAATGTTGTTTGGAAATGATCTACGTTCCATCAGTGTCCTATGCGTAATGAATATGCGCAACTCGTAAGACTTTTCCGAGTCGTGCATAAATAAGCACACTATTTTTGTCATTGTGTCTAGATGAGTGCATATGCAATTCCTTGCACGCAGACACTAGACCTCCTTGCGTCCGAAGAGATAGTTTGGGAAGAAATAGGAGAGACAGCAGACGTCAAAGGAGCGAAAGAGTGCGTTTGTCTCAGAAACGCCGACAACGTTCGCAGCGCGACCTGTCTCTGCGTGCGACGAATAAGCTATACTTCAGATCCGCAGGTAGGCTTGATTCTTACAAGCAAAAGCTACATATTTTTGCAGTTTAATCTTTGTTGCAAACTGCAAGTAGATTTTATAGAATCTGCCATTTCTGTTTTTGTTTACAGTAATCGCATAGCCTATTGAAGGCCAACTTAGTTGAAAAGAACATATAAGCCCCGTTGATTTCACTTGAGCTTAGCATTAGCAGAAGAATAATAAGCGTTGATCAAGAAATCACGCTGCAAAATCTGAGTAGTAAGAGCAAGCGTAGGTAGAGAGTCTTCTGCAGATTTTAGACAAAATTAGCGCAACAGTTGGCAACCATTAATTTTGCCGAAGCAACACTTCGCTACAGTATACGAAGTCATTAACTCTGCTTCAACGAATCAATTAGTAACATAGCAAAAAATGGTGTTAGACGTAGATCTAAAAGCCTCTATTTCGTAGCATCTTTCTTGATTTTTTCGGACTACAAAGAATAGCTCTGTTAGAAACAAAAGAATAGAAAGAAGTTGTCAGGGAAGGGAGTATTTTTTGCATTTTGCATTTGTTATTCAGAGTCGTAATGATCCAATATCTATTGCAGATATTGAACTTGAAGGTAAAATCTTACAAGGAACTCTCAGTTAACTAGGCGATTGCTCAGGAGCTGAACAAACCAAGAAGCAAATAGCGAGGTGCTTCAGGTTGAGATTTCCTCCCCCTCTCTCATGAACTACTTTCCCTACCCCGTATCAACGCAAAAGGGCAGATCTGTTTTTCCGGCTTCAACGGCTACTCCACCTACTCTCCGACAGTGTACCCATCATTCTCCTGCACTTTTCTACCAAATAACATGTCGCTTTACTAATGAGCTTACTTCATTTAGTACCCTCCAACGAGACACTTAACAGCTAGCTTTGTTTACGTAAGGTTTAGCGAGATGACGCAGAAATTGGAATCACTTCGGAGATAGTATCAGATTTGACGTAATTGAGGTCATATATGGGACATTTTCGAAGAGCGTACTTTACAATCGAAAAAAGATGATTGAAAAAACTAATTATAGTTCGATATGATCTTTAGTGGTGAGATATTTGCATCGGTAACTCGACTTATCTTCATTAAATAAGCTTGTGTTTCTACGATGAGAACGAGAAGCTGAAAGCGAAAATCATCACCAGTGAGATCAAAAATGCTTGTTTGCTTCTGAATAATTTCAGTGACAGAGGTATCGCTTCGCACTATTCCGGATATCCTAGATCTGGTTACCCTGCGATAAAATTGGTAAAGGCAATCTTCCGCAGAATCACTCACTGGATCTACTTACAGCGAAATTAAGAATTCTAAAAATTTGTGGAACGGATCACCAAAAGTTCAGAATATATTAAATCTCATTCTGCAATCAAAAAGAAAAGTTTCCGCTGCAATGTTGTACAGCGCTCGTAAGGAGATGTGAAGTTTACGAAAATCAAAAAACGCTATATAACCTTGGAAAGAACGTAGATACAACCTCGGATTAACAACTCGTTGAAATTAAGATGTGATTGAAATTGACAGTATAGGATCTCTTATTAGCAAGGTTTAAAAATGCTGATCTTTTTACTGGCATGAGAGTATAGTTCCGTAGTGACGAGTGTTTTGCTGCTGAGGGTGAAGATGCAGGAAATAATCGTAGTGATTATGTTAATAAGGTGGGGGAGGAGGTTTACGAATACACTAGCAGAAAATAATGATTAGGCAGCGCATGCATAACTTGTCATCAGCAAAAAATAAAAACTCAGACAACTGACCGGAACATCCGCAGAACGTTAGGAAAAGCTTCGCTGGGTCGACCTGCGGAAACTCGCAGACGTGCTGCGGAAATTTCGAAAAATGCGAAACACAACAGTCTAAACGAGATTCGAACCTTGCTCTATTGATTGCAAAACTCACTTATTATCTTCTGCACTACAAAATTGCGCTACATTTCGACAATGCGCTCTAGTTGTTGGTGAAGAGACAACACCTTCAAGAACCTGCGAAAGCATTGGCAGGTCAAATTGTTGCGGAACCGTTGGCATATTTCGGGATATTTGCAGCATTTTGTAGCAAATCCTGCGGAAGCCCATTTCCAACCAGTCTGACGCGGAAATCCTGCGAAATTACCCATTTTCAACGTTTCCATTTTTGTAATAGTAAACAAAATCCTGCGGAAGCTGTGCAAATTTTGTTTGTCCTTCACATTCTCCGGTGAAGAGATATAAAATGGTAGAGTTGAAAATATGTTTCAGTGAAGTCCTAGATGGTACTCTTTAAATACTTCAAACAACAAAGCTGAAATTAGTAGCAACTGCATGCCTTAAGGCCAATTCGAAACTAAAAGACGAAACTCAGTCATGGAAGTAGCTCATTTTGATGTTGTAAGTGCACGAATGCTCATTACCAAATGCTGCGAGGTAAATTTTACACTCTCACGAAATGTAATTCTCCCATCATGACGAGATCGCCCAAAATATGAAGAAAAGGTTCGGATAATGTTAGTTCACACTTTTCTCTTTCGTTCGAATACAAAATATTTAAGATGCATGTGTTGACGTTAAGCGAGCCTCATATAATATAAATGGACAGATGGCTCCACTCCGGAAGTAGAAATCAAATGATGTCGAGATAGGGCAAACTCACCACTTCCTGTGTTCTCAAGATAGTGCATGCTTCTATTTTTGGAAAACATAAATTGATGAATATGAGCACAAATGCTAGAGATGGATCATTCTCATCTCAGAAGAGCTAAGACTAGAGAATGGAACATACACCTTTAAAAATGTGGAGCCCCTGTCATAATAAGGGAAGTGCTCTGTGACTTGTGCATAGTTCAGTCAAGCCTGTTTAGCGCTGGCTATATAGACTATCACTCCTATGCCACTGCTCTCTATGAGACTTCTAACCATAAGATAGCCTTTCTAATTATAGCTTGCAAACTGGAATGAAATTCATCGTAATAAATTGAGAATGAAGCAAATGCATAAGATTTGCTTGTCATTGCGCTGAGCTTCAAGCGATAGTCACGAACGTATCTTCTTACACAGCAGGGAAGATTCAAGAAGGTCTTGCTCAATTCTATAAGTACTTTCGCGCGCAAAGCGACATCATCAGTTCCAATCAGGGAAGGATCTTTAGTCAAAGTGGCCTTTCCGGCAGACGCATACGTTCTCAAAAGACATTTAACGCTAATTCAAATCTGTTTTCCCTATCAGCGAAGCGCTCTAGTGAGGAGTTACGAGGGTTTTATGGTTGAAGAAACTGAACATCTGATCAGAATAAAATCAACGGTCACAGCCTTTCCAACTCGCAGATGGAATATTGGCGAGCATTTAGGTAGCAGGCAGAAAATTTCCTCTTCATAAGTTTTAAGAGTCACCAGTGTTCCATTTGCGTTCACGATAGTCATCTATACATGATATTCTTCTAACTACACAATTCAAAGTCTCGCTACAAAAGCCCTCATATCTCCTTGTCTAGAGGAGCTCCGTAGATGGGGA